AAAGGAGCTATACAGGGGATTATTTAGGCGAGTATAAAAGGGGTTATTAAGGGGGAATGCTAGGAGTTTAGACTTTGGCGCATATAGGTACATATATGTATTTATAGGGATTCTGTAGGGGTTACATAGGGGTTTGCAGGGATTATGTAGGAATCATGAAGGGACAGCAGGGGGACTTTGTAAGGTTTGGGTGAATACCGCTCCAGGAATGGAAAATCAAATGGACAAGAGCATTGAAACTGGCATCATATAGACTCTGAAGAAGGCCCCAACACATCAGGAACGGTGTGGTGGAAAGATGAGGGCACTGCACGAAACACGCAGATGCTGTGGCTGCTTAGGTTGGGGTCGGGCTTCAGGGCTTCATCAGGGGTTCTTCCTGAGAATCCGCCAAGTGAGACGCCTCAACAAAGGTCAAGGAGCATAGGTGCTATAGTCCAAATTCCCTAAAAGGACTTATATAGGGGATTATTTAGGGGACTGCGAAACCGGTTATTAACGGGGATACTAGGAGTTTAGATTATAGCTCAGATATACATGATTAAAATGCAGTAGTTCCCATTTTCTTTTCCACTGCCTCTTATAGCCCCAACGTATTTCCTTGTTGCCTACTAATTATGATAATCTCTAAGCTCCCTCCCTGCTCTTGTTGTGTTGATCCATAAGGCCTGAAGCCATTGAGGATTCTATTCATGAGAGTTGACAGCCAGCCTCAACTAGACGACCAATGCCAGACCCAAGCCGCTAGTATCAAATATGCAGTTATGCATTCTTGTCACTTTGAAGACTTAAGCCAGTCTACGGTTCTATTCATAGGGGGTTTTGGTAACTCCAACCCCCAAAATTAGGACCCTATAACCATCATATGATAGTCATAGGCTCCTAATTTGGGGGGTTGGGGTTACCAAAATCCTTTCATTATCTATAGTAAAAAGATCGTGCAAGCCTGAGCAGGCAGCCTCGACGCGAGCCAAGTCCCTATCCCTCCACGACCTCTCCGCGGCAGCGCTGGCGCTGCGGGCAAAGGCGCTGCAGTCGTTGGGGCGGAGCGAGGCAAGGTGAGCATGGCAAAGATGATAAAGCCCATGACAAACGGGGGTTTGCAAAAGTTATGGTTCCCGTTGTAAGAGTCCTTGGAATCCAATATTCAATAGAATCCCTCTAGAACCCCCCCTAGAACTCTTATATCCTCCCAGAACCAAAGGGGCCCTAACCCCCCCTACCGCTGGCAGGAGGCAGCAAAGACGTCTGGTGAAGCTTCGGAGGCTCTACAGCTAGCAGGCAAGGATGCGGATCCAAAGCTGGCTCGGAGACTTGGACCCTAAAGCACCTAATTTTGGCGTTCTTTCGTGAGCTAAGCATCGCTGATAGCGCCATTGCCCTTCCTCGCAAGGGTGGTGGTTAGCTATGAATTGAAACAACTACCAAAGTTTGGGGTTTATCAGCCTTGCTAGTCGGGCATGCGCACTGGAGCCTAATGATCCCATAAGGTATCCCCAAAGATGAATAACCCGACGTGGCACCTCTGCAAAGGATAGCGCAGACAAAGCCGCGGGCAAGTGTGGAGGTCAAGCTGAATAGAGATGAGCTTGTGAAGGACCTCGCCGTGCAGATGCAAGCTTGTCTGAGGTTTCTTTGCGTGCAAGGCTGTTGATACTAAAAATTTAGCGTGACGATAATATACATAGCACCTTGATAATCAGGTACTTCGGGTCATGGAGGATGCTCAGTATCAAGCGGGGATTCATCGCAGGATCCCTCGCTGGTTCTTCTTCCCATGGATGCCACCGAGATGCAGGCGCAGCAGGTCTTTGCAAAGCGCGAGGCTGCCCACAAGGAACAGGCGCGTTTGTGAGGAAAGCGAAGCCTTGCAAAGTCTCAACATACTTTCCAGACTCTTCAATGGGCTTGGGAAGTTTTCTAGTATACGAAGCAGTCTACAGCAGCAAAAGAAGGATTCCAAAAAAGAGGATTTGATATGCCCAGTTGCCTATGCAACACGTTGGGGTTCCCATTTTGCAAAACTCCCGCGTGAATGCAAGCAGGCTGAGCCAACAGCGCTAGTTCGCCAGCCTACTGGACTTTTGGTTGAGGCAAAGACGAGTTTGCCTTTCCAGGCGCGGTTCTGGGTCGGGGTGTGGTATGGGGATTTCCTTCAATTCGCTATACCATATAAATGGCCTTCCATTATTTAGGCCAAGTCCCATACGGTATAGAGCTCAGAGTCCTCGAAAGGAGGCTTGCGTAGTCCTGCAGTCCTGAAGGTGGACCTCTAATCATCGTTCACTTGCAATCTGTACTAAGTCATACATCCGCGAGAGTCCATAAATGGGGGGATCCTTTACATATTTATATACACCAAAGCCTTCATCAACGCCACCCTGAAAAAGGTTCCCCCCCCCTCCCCCCACAATTTGGGAAGCTTCAAAAATCTCGCTAAAGCTCTTGAAGAAACCCCACATGAGTGTGGCCTTGGGGTTCTTCCATCTGAAGCAGCATTGGAGTTTCCCTTCGTTCCTCAAACGAGCTGCCGGCGGATATTGGTGAAGTCTACAGGCTCTTCTTACCAGTGCATGCTCTGCAGCGGAAGTGTAAGTTAGATTCGAAAGTCGAGAGTAATCCACTCACGGGCACAAGAACCACCTTAATGTGTGTAAAGCGGAAAGTTGATCTTGAAGGTAAGCCTCTTCGTTTCTCAGAAACCCCCAGGTGGCCATGCGGCGGGATGCTGTGAGCAGCACCGCGCAGGTGCTGACTCGGTATTACCGTCACCTGCGGAAAACCACCACCAGGCCAGGTGGCGGCAAATCATGATAGAAGCCGGCACATCCGGCACAGTTTCACAACATGACCGTATCACCGCATCTTCCTCTAGCGCTTGGAGGAGGCAACGCCTCCGTGGACATGGGTTATGATAGGAGAATGTAGAAAATGGGCGCCAAACAACTTGACCAGCTGTATGCTAAGTGGGGGGTCACGTCTTTCAGTTCAGTTTGTTTTGAGGCGCATGATTCTTGCAGCGGGCCATTGGCGCACATGTTTTCGGTGCACCTGTCCAGGGTGTGATCTTCAGTCTAGTTCGGCCATGCAGCCTTGCAACCGTCAAATTTGCAACATGCACGCGTGGATGGCAAACAAACCCTGCCTGTGCACTGACTGCATTAAATAACATCGCTTTTCCTGGTTTCCTCAGACCTTCAAACCCAAAAAGTGTTTACTGAGTAGTTTTCATTTTCTGTTCAGTTTCCTTTCCCCTATGTACTTACCCCTATGTAAGCCCTTTCAGAGGGAGGCAAGTGCCTCGACTGGATTTCTTCGGCCCAAGCGTAGAATCATTGGAAAAGCCTTGTGTCAGCGCTGGCCTTCCTAGTCATGGGCTTCCTGGGCAAGCTTGAGGAAGCCAGAAGTGTTGCTTAGCTGGTGGTTAGTAGATAAGAGAAAAAGGGATCCCTACAGTGTTATTAGTCTTTATTATTGTTATTATTGTTATAGGTAGTATTATTGTTATTGTACTTATTATGGTTGTTATTATTGTTAGTATTATTAATACTACTATTATTACTACTATGAGGATTCCCTGCAGTAGTATCCATTTTGTTTTCTGCCCTTCATTCCCTGCCGGCCACCAATTGAGGTCGTTGGGGAGCCGAATTTTCTCGGACCACAAGCAGCCAAAGCTTTGCTGGAAGATGACCCGAGTGCTCTCTTGCTGGATGTGCAGGCCCTTGGATAAGTTTGTTAGAACTTGTATAATACACTAGAATATATTAAACTCTAGCATATCTTACCAAAATATAGTATAGCATAGTATGCTATAATGTATTGCCTTGGTATGGCAGCCAGAGCCGTAAGCAGAACGTTTCTCTGAATTCTTAGTATTCATGATGTTGTTGCTTCCGTTCTGACAGTCCCTGACCATGTTTTTCTTCTGGACGGCATTGCAATGTACGGCAATGTGCTTCCGGACTCCAAGTAAGGATCCTGGAAGCGACATGCTGGAGGGAGCGTACAACGTGTCCTTGGGCACCCTGTTTTTCAAAGCCAGCAGTGACTTGGAGGACGCACGGTGCTTCGCTACATTTTGAATGAACATGATCTAACCATGGCTTCTAAGCCAGGAATTCAAGGACGAGACGTCTCGTGGTAGCAGCCAGACGGCGTGCGTAAGGTGATTGATGGTGTTCCTATTCAGAATTCAAGCTCTTCCGTGGCGCTGCCTGACTGAGGATTGCAGATCGGCCCAAGGACTCGCTGATCATCGTGACCTGCATGTATGGAGGACAGGCAGCGATCGCAGCGCAGGTGCTATGCCAATATGGCTTCACCAATGTCAAGGTGCCAGCACGGCTTAGAGCAGACATGGATGTACTCCTCAGAATGGCAGCGATCTGGCTGTTGATGTTGGCTAATAATTATCCCCTATATTATCCCAATGTAGTATAGTAGTTCCCATTTTCCTTTCCATTATCCCTAATATTACCCCAATATAACCCCCAAATTATTACTATCCTATATACCCTAAACCCTAATATCACCCCAATGCAACCCCCAATTTGCAGGTGCTTCAAGGCGGCAACTCTGAGGCTCGCCAGTGCGGATGTTTCCCGTGAGCCGTGAAAAAAGGGCGCATCCCTTGCTGGAGCTGATGGCAAAACATGAAATGGCAACAGGGGGTATATAGGATAGTAATAATTTGGGGGTTATATTGGGGTAATATTAGGGACAATGGAAAGGAAAATGGGAGCTACTATAGTACATTGGGAAAATATGAGGGATAATTATTAGACCCCCCCCTTGCTCTTGCTGGAGCTGATGGCAAGATTTAGTGTCGCCATCCAATGCAGGAAGGAAGACAGCAGAATGGAAGCCCTTAGGAGGACCCCCCACCCTGTAATAGTGGTATAATAAGAATACAAGAGGACCCTGATATAATCCCTATTATCCTTTATAGTCACTATTACTGGGTGGGGGGTCCACCTAAGGAAAGCCCCTGCATTAAGGACCTACTCGGATGATCGGCTTTGGAAATGGGTTGCACTACAACGTGAGATCTTTGAGGCCGGCAGGATCTGCAAGCTTCCCTAGTCTGAGAGCCTGCATGGTGCTTTGGCATACGGGGTAGTTACTCCAACATCCCATCAGCAACTGAAGCCGTGATGCATGACCTCTTCTTGCTGACTGCAGGACTGCAGCTTTGACAGCAGTCACGTTGTGCAGTCATGTTTCTTTCCTAAGCAAAATGCCATCTTGAAAGGCTGCCCTCAAGTACGTCAAGGACAAATGGTCAGCCTCATCATGTGTGCTGCTATAGAATCTATACATGTTTGGACAGCTTGGGGAGGACAGCGGGAAGATTGTGCTGCTCGGCAGAATTCTTTTGTTCTGGGATGCACAAGCGTCAGATTGTAGTGAGAACCTAGTATGCATACAATTTCATGTTGCTACGGAGTTTCTGGTTGTGACACAACTCCCTGACTGAGGTACGCCACCTGCAGCCTGCTGGAAGAGGAGAACGCCAGAAACTGAGCTCTTGGAGTGGCTTCACCTGGACTCCAGCACCTGACTCGCTGGAGGGGCAACAAGTCCGGTTCTTCTGTGAGAAGTTTGGACTTTACCTGAGTCATCCGCCGCTACATGCAAGGCGAGCTGCTTAGAGTGTGGAACGTGTATTGGTGCATGTCTCTGTGATCAGCAAGCTTGCCGGAGCATTTTGCCAGCCCGGCTCCAATTTCCCGAGCAGTGAAGTCTCCCTGAGTTTCAAGAAAAGCGTATAAATACCTGCACACTATTCACCACAACCCTGTTGTGCATTCTTGAGCCCGTTCAGCGCTTGTGAGTTCATAGACCCTAAATGCAATCCCACTGTCAAGTGGTTGGCTTCCCCGTTGAGGCCCCAGAGCCGCGGCATGGATGGCTTCTTCTGCGCTACTCTGGAGAGGCGTTGAAAAAATGGCTCGCGAGGTGCTGAACATGCTAGGCAATATTTGGTTATATAGAGTTATATTGGGGTTACATTGGGGTGATATTAGGGAAATGGAAAAGCAAATGGAAACTACTATAGTATATTGGCATAATATCGGAGTTAGACCCCCTTGTTCAGGACCTAGGATAGTGATGCAAGCTCTTTAATGGCGCTTGGATTGATTGCATTGTTGTTGGTTTTGGTCAACGTTGCCACACTTTTCTTCGCGCTGGGGCAAGCATGCATATTCTGCATGCGGATGGCACGAACAATGCAAAGGACTGACATTTTCCTCCTTTGCCTGTTATTAGCTGCCAGTGAAAAGCACGACTTCAGGCTTTCCGGCTGTCATGCAGGTAGCGTTTGGGCTCGAGTTGGTCTTCCACTTCTTTGAGGGAATTCGAAAACTCGCCCATGTAGCAGCCAGCTTTTGAAAGCTGTTCGGCCCCCGTTCCGTGCAATGCATGGCGCTTTTCCAAACCTGCAGGGAGGGGAGGGGGAGGATGCTGTGTGTCGCAATCCCTTCGAGCGAGCGGATCGCATCAGCTACCCAGTGTTGACGCCAGGATGCCGAGCAGTAGAATCTTATATCGCTTTCGCTATGATGGAATCTTCGTCCAGACATGATCTTCTCTTCTTATTTAGAAACTGAGGACAGAGTCTGCTTGGCACTTCCACGCTGGATCGCCGCCAGAAGGTAAGTCTGCATACTCCTCGCCCACTCCCGGAGGGTGGGCGCCATTTCTGGGAGGGTGGACGCCAGCGGCCTCAGACGAGTTGCTCTCCTGAACGGAGCTCATGATAATAGCAGCCCTGGCAGCTACAAGCAGTGACGATAGTCATGTTCAGAGACAATCCACATAGCGATCCTGGCCTTGAACGAAGAATCTCGAATCTGTTTTTCCGCCTCTTCCTCCTCCAGTCAGCACAGCCAACCTTTCATGAAAGGTTGTCCTGGCACCGTGGAATGGTGGGCTGTGGTGACGAAATCTTGGCAGATCGCCAAAGAAGGGGTCTAATCACCCCAGCGAAGACGCCTCGACCAATCATGAAGACCAGTATTAAGTAGATCACCCGCCAGTATGTCAACTCAATACCTGCGGATTTTGCTAGGCAACCTGTGTACGCTTAGGACGCCAAGCGATTTTATGAAGAGGGGGCCGCTCTTTGATCCGGACAGCGATGGCCGGAGCCCCCTGGTGAGCGAGATTAGCTCCGGCTCAATGGGCATCGGCTCGAGTGGATGCAGCCGGTGTCCAGGACGTGGAGACTTGGTTGCAGCGCGAGATGCACAATGCTGCAACACTTGTAAAATTTGATGATTTCGCATGTTTGCATAGCTAGACAAGGAGGAGCACTATCCAACAACGCAGCCCCAGCTTCGGCACCTCGCCTTCTGCTGTTGGTGTCTGCTGTCTCTGGCTACAGGAAGCACATCGCAGGCAGTCTCCCATGCTGGGAGCTGCTGGTTCTTCACATTATGCTCTGCGTAGGAGAAGACTGACCTTGCGTATGGCATCTGCTGATGTGCGTCTAGCGTGCCCATGTGCGGGCTCTACACTAAGGTAGTGAGCCATCATTCTCTGAGGCGCCAGGTAGATCGGTGGCTGCTTGGAGCACATGTTGTAGGAAAAGAGAAGAAGGTACAGCACAGAATATCTCATACCTTCCTCCATCCGCACGGCATGAGGACACGCCACAAAGCTGCCACAGATCCAAGCTCTCGTCCCTCACAGCCATCTGCCTCCTGGGCATTCGCAGAGGCCTCGTGAAATTCAGGGACCCATGGGCTTCAATTCTGTGTGCGCAAGCCTGGATGTCAGGCCAGCACGCGAGAGACCGAAGCCGTGTCGCTGGCAACAAGCTCCATCAGCTTTGGCCGTGAGGAAAGGTTTCCAACCCTTTCGGGGGTTCCAAGTTCCTTATTGGGGGTGTCCATAATAAGGATTGTAATATATTGGGGGCTATATTGGGGGCCCCCCTATGTTAGGAATCTACCATGTGTTATACAAAGCCTGGCCGCATTCTGCCCGCGCAACGCACCCGCGCTGAAGGACCCGCGAGTGTTGGACGCGAGTGCAGCTGGTATGGTTCTGCCCTCAGCCCCAAGCCCTCAATTCATGGCTAAGCTGCCCTTACCTTTTTGCGTAAGCGCCGGAACGCAGTCATGCTGCTAAAGATTTGGGGTAGTTTCAAGTTTTAGGTATGGGAATGAGGGAACCATTTAACAGCATCATGATCGGGTGAAGAGATTCTGCTTCAACTAAGGTGAGGCGCTGCTCTACCTCAGGATCAGGAACTTGCCCGCACGGAGATATTTGCCTTGGGTGACGTGTGCCAAAACAATAGTTCCTTTTTGGGGCCTTCAGCATGTTAATATTTTTCACGGTGAAGGTATGGGGGAATTTGGCGCTGCAATGCTCTTATTGTGGCCGTGTTGTCAGCGGCATTTAATGCTCAACAGCACCTTGCAGTGGCATCACGGCGATAGGTTGCCAGTTCTCATCTCCACTGGAGTTTGAGACCTTAGTCCTACAACAGCTATTTGTCGCCGGCTGCTGGCGTGCCCTAATTTGTAGTCGGGTTTCCGGCTTTGATGCTCAGAGACCCATGCAGTTTTCAAGTCCGCCGGCCTCTGCATGCGGACGCTGAGGCACTGCCGGCACTGCCGCCAGGGTAGCGCGACAGCTGGACTTCGATGGAGCAGGAGCGCTCCTACACTCTGTTGGGTTTTGGCTGGTCTAGTCCCGATGAGGCCTGCGCAATCAACTGACTTCAGGTACTTCGGACAGCTATACAGCAAGTAGCGGACAGAAAAGCCTCGTCCATCCAAGGCGGCCAGGCAAATGAAGCCTCTGACGACGACAGTGTCCTGAGCTTGACGGACAGCCTCCGCTGGCAGACTTGCCGCTTGGATGCTTTCCAGTGTGAATGATAATGGGTATATATTGGGGTTATATTGGGATAATGGAATAGAAAATGGAAACTACTATAATGGTTATGTAGGGGTTATATAGGGTATGTATTGGGGATATATTGGGATAATGGAAATAACATGGAAACTGCTATAGTATATTGGGGCTATATAGGGAAAATGTGTTTTTCTCCTTTCCCTGCTTGCTTCAGATGCTGATGATCTCGGTTTCCTTGAGGCCGCACTCTGTCCTCATCCTTGGAGGATCTGCAAGAGCTCAGCTCTCTAAGCTGGAGCCCTGCGAAGTCTCGGCACGAATCAACGCAGACTGAGCTTGTGGCTGAACCTAGCCACCACGTGCAATACGTGCAACGAGCTGAAGCTTGTGAGATGCATGCAAGGCTGCCCGATCCTGCCTTGCAAGAAGCTGTGATGCTTGGCAGCTGCCCTGCCGCCATGCAAGTTGCTCCAGTCGCTCCTCGAACACGGAGCCGATCGGGCGCGGAAAGCCTCAGCTCTGGCGATCAAACGAAGGTCAGATGCACATTGCACAGGCAGTGTGCCTGGCAGTGGAGTCCACTGAAAAGGCTATCCCTTGAAGAGTTGCGAGCTGCGTCCCGCTTTGCGCAGTATCGCTGTGATCAGCACCGGCAAAGCCTGCAACTCTCAGTAGGAGGCAGTAGTGAGGCCTGTGCAAAACCCAGAAGCAGTTTCACTCGTAGTATCTCCTGGTCCCAGCTGAGGTAGTGTCAGCTATGCACTGCAGCTTCGCACATGTGTAGCTTTTTCAGTGAATGCGATGCAAGTCCCACGCTTCCATACACAGATCTTACCGACTCAGTGCGATGCAGGGTTCTTGCCTGGCTGCCCTGTCTGGCCAGCGCATTCAGATCTCTGAGCTCTGGAATGCGCATAATTCGGTTTTCCGGTACTGGAAGCATGCACCAGGGGAGGTGCGCTGCGTGCAGGCAAAATTGACAGATAGTGCTTGGCCCCATGCAGTGACGTGACCAGTTCAGTTGTTTGAGCATGATAATAGTACTGGTAATAAATAGTAATAAGAACAGAAAAAATAAAAAGAGTAATGGTAGTAATAACAGTACTCTTGAGTGATTGAGTGATGTAGGGTCTTTGACTCGGATTTTGGTTCAACGTCAACGAGACGTAGCTGCTGATACCGTGCCCGCCTGCTTGTTTCAGACCTGTCACCAGGTGGGGACTGCAGAGTAATCCCCCTTCCTCCTGACACAGAATCCCAAAAGAGTAGCATTTTATTTGGGGATACTATGGTACCCACCATAGAGTAAGATTATATCCTCCTTTTGGGGTCTAGTCTTTGATATAGTATTTTATATAAGGAATATTATCTTACTAGGTTCAACCACCAACAAATAACTCCCTGGCTGAGAATGTGTGACGGGATGTGACGGGTACATTGTACATGTCTAGACCGTCTTCCTTATGGCAAAGAGAGCTGGGAAGGCCTCTGGGATATTTAATATTTTCCCTAATGGCTTCAATAGGGGACCCTATATATTAATATTTTTCAAAGGGTTTTAGGGGCCAACCCACAGAGTGGGTTTCAAAGCTACTCTAGATTGCTGCATACAGTGGGAGGTGAGAAGCACATGTGCAGTTTCCAGCCGAGCTCCATCTTGGTATATGTCAAAATGCGGGATCTATTCCATCAAGAGGCCACATCTTTAACAGGCAATACAGCTTCTGTTGCCTTGGTAAGACGGCACCTTCTTACTTGAAAGAAGAAGGGAATCGAACAGGCGGTTTGCAGGTAGGCAGAAACAAGGATGTTATCCAGGCACGTGAGTGTACATCTTTGGCTCGTCGTAGGACTTGGGGTCGTCGTCGTGTTTCTGGTGAGTGCTTATGAGATTTCTTCGGAGCATCGTTGAGTGCGCATATGACATGGAGAGCTCTTACATGATACATCCCTCCCCATGACAGGGAAAGTAATACAACCTATTACAATCTCCAGAAACAGGGCGCCCAAAGAGGCACCGGCAGTTCGAGAAGCCCCTCTGAAGCCCAAAGAAAAAAGCCAGCAGTGCAATGCGCGTGTTGAAATCCGAACGCCCTTGTGGCGAGGTGACTTGCAGGCGAAACATGTCTTCGCAGAAGAGTCGGCAGCCTAGATTCCGGTTCAGGTTTAAAGGTTGAGGGCCGGGTTTAGGGTCAAGGTTTCCAAAACTTTGGAGTTGTGCACGAGAATCTCTCTAGAACAATCATTGTTGCATGTTACGCGCTGTTAGGTGGACCGCTCTTTTTGGGAATGCCTGTTTGAGATACAAAGCCTGATGAAATTGAGCTTTTTCAGTTGGGCCTCAGAGTTCTAGCTTCGATTTGGCGAAAGAAGATTATGAGGGGCTATGGGGTCCATGCTAGGGATTTTGGAAATTCAGTGATAATTTTTGAGCCGTCGCTTTTGGTAGTTAACTACGTAGGATAGGCACAAATATTGGCGATAGAAAGCTGAGAGCCTCACAGGCAGCAGGAAGGATGCCAAAGATCCCGAAGTATCGTAGTGCCCTTTGGAGTGTAGGGTTGAGAGTTTAGGGCACTAGTACCATGAACAAACCCACAATCTCAATGGGTATGTCCTGTGCACAGCCTTATCTGATGCCACGCAAGCCTCATCTAGCCTCGATGCAATCATCTCTGATCTCATCCCTTTCAATATCGACCGCGCTTTCCACAAGCCCCTTCCCGGTCTTGTGGGGAAGGCCTTCTAATCACAAATATCCACATTCTAGTCCAATTCAATATTGGCAATGTTTCCTACTGTTCTTGTTATTGTTGTTGTTAGTTATTGTCACTGCGCTCGTTAATATTCTAGGAACGCTTCGGACCCAGCTACCTGGCAGCCCGCTACTATTGAGGCCACATTCCTGCTTATTTCTTCTGCATTTGGGTCTAAATGGGCCTTAAACCCTACACCCAACCTAAGGCAACACCCTAAACCCTAGTAGGTAGTGGGGTACCAGGTGATTCGGGATTCAAGTGCTTGCGCAGGCGATGCAAACGACCTTCGAGCAGAGCCTCGACTCGGTGAATGGGAGGAGGGTTTGGGGTTTCTCGCTTATGCTTTTCTGGACGGGGGGCACGGATCTGGATAGTCGTGCTGTTCCCTCATAATGTCTTCCTTGTAATATTCCCACCCAACCCAGAACCAGTAGGTCGATCAGGAGGCTCATGGCAAGTGGAGATGGCTGGATGCAGGTTCGAAACCTCTGCGAACGCATCCAGAGTTTGAGCGGTGCTTTAATTTCTGGTGTTGGAAAATATGTTTTGCGGCTTCTAGGGCTTGATCGAGAGTATTCAGCGCGGTTGTGGGGTGCTTGTAATGTGGGGCAAGTTGAGGATCCGAGGCGATTTTTGTGCAACAGGACAATGACGAGGCAGGTTGATGTGAGATACTTTCCGGATGAGAGTAGCCGAGGTGCAAAACGCCTTTCAGAACATGAAGGTGGAATCCACCAAGAGCACTGACGAGTGGCTCGGCTTGTCCAAATATGTGAGACCTTCGCTGTCAGATGCTGGCCACCAGATCCTGGGGTGGCCGCGCGGAAAGCCACCAGGAACAAAGTCAAGTTCTTACAGCACAGGCATACCACTCCGAAACCCCTAAACCCAAAGCCTTGTACTTCTGAAGCCTTAAGAAAAAGCCCGAGTGCCAATGCCACCATACGCCACAGTAGACCACGGCACTATAGACTTCCGCAGGGCAACGAAGAAGTCCTACACCTACAACGCAGAGCGTGTGCTGGGCAGTGGCTCTTTCGGTGTCGTTTACCAGGCTCAGCCGAGTGAAAGAGCATTTGTCATTCGATTGCTTGGAATCTTGCAGCAGCCTGTGCGGGTTATAATCTCTGTATTCATAATCTCCCTAGATAATCCCTAGATACTGACATCTGTATGCCCCTATAATATGGTGGTTTCCATTTTCTTTTCCATTATCCCTGTCTAACCCCGTGATATACCCTATTATCATACAGTAGTAGTTTCCATTTTCTTGTCTATGCCTAAGCCCTAAACCCAAACCCCAAACCCAGAGGGCCAGATCTTAAGCCATGCCAGGCTGTTGTGGTCGAAACTGGTGAGTCGGCGGAAAGCTGAGAGGGGTAGCAGTGCAGCCGTAAGGCCTTGCAGACTTGTACTGATAATGATAGTAATGCTAGGCATACTGCCGTTGTATTGTATGTGTATAAGTGTCAATATTAGTGCAAATATTAGTACTAATAAGCATACAATGCCACGAATCATAAGAGTGTACGCTTGAAATGTGAGGTTGCCATCAAGAAGGCCAGCTACAGCCGCAGATTGGATGGCGTGCACTCCTGCTCCGTTTTGCGCGTAGGATCTCATGAGGCGCTGTCTGGCGGGCTGTTGCTTGAAGGTTTTCCAGGACAAGAGGTACAAAAATCGCGAGCTGCAGATCATGAAGGATATCCAGTTGCATACTTGACATTGCGCAAGCGTGCCTGCGCCCCTGGCGAGGAGCTCCGGCACCCCAACGTGGTGGAGCTGAAGCATGCCGTGGACTCACAGACGGGATGGGCTCGTGACACGAGTCTCAAACTATGTATTAGTGTAACGTTGAACCCTCTTTAATCTTGGGGTCCCCCCTCTGGGCCTCCAGAACACGACGGCCTCTTGACCCAAGGATGCTGAGTAGCATAATGAGAGCTTGAAGGTTCAGGCTAATCAAAAACCCAATCCTTCCTGTACTTATGACCCAACTTTAAACCCCTGAGTCCTTTAATATGGACATGATTGCAGTCGTCAAAATGAAAAGGACTCTACTTCAAGCATATAGTAGGAGGCTTAGAGGAACATGCCTACCAGTGTCTATATGCCTATGACATTGCTACACTATATGCTTGGGGTTCCTTGTTTGGGTTTGGGATTCCCACTCTAAACCCTGAGGCCTTGCCGCCTCACTGGCACTTTTTTTTTGGAGGACTGCAGCAGCCTACATTTATTCCTGCGATTGAGACGCTTTCTGTTGCAAGACGGAAGCAGGAGTGGAACAAAAAATCCCGAAACCCTAAACCCCAAGCTGCTCTGCATGCTGAGGCTTTCTACACTTCAGGTGAGAAGCCTGGCGAGACGTACCTGAACGCAGCGCGGCTGCATCATTACGGACCTTCAGTTTTGGGTTTAGCATTTAGGATCGTTAAAGGGGGTTATGATGGTATAGGGGACTACTATAGGGGTCCTTAAGGGGGATGCTAGGACTTTAGATTATGGCCCACACAGGATTTTATAGGGTTATACAGGATTCTATACTGGGGATGTTATTGGGGTATATCATCCCCAACAATGGAGAATCACATGGACAAGATGGAGTATGAAATGGAAACTGGGATTTTGAAGTTGTTTGGAAGGAGTGATTGACAAGGATTATACGAGCGATTGTCTATATATTAGGGTTACCAAGGGACCATCAAGGGTGGACATAAGGCTCCCTTTGGTAGCTTAATGTAGTCCCTTGTATATTCCCTAGTAAGGAACCAATCTCCATTCAATTATGCAGGAAATATTTACTGTAGCTCAAGTTTTGATGTATAGGATTCTAAAGAGTTATATAGGAGTATATAGGGTTATGTATAGGTATGTGGGGATGTTATTGAGACATATTATCCCCAAATAACGGAGAACCAAATGGACAATGGCATGCAAACTGAAATGGAAACAGGTTTCCATAAGAAATCACGAGGGTTATGATGTTGATGCTAAAAATCCTGCATGATACCATCATTCCCAGGCAGGATTTTTGGTATTCATCGTACCACGGGTGAGATCACTTGCGTTAGGCCCTTACCCACTGATACTGGCATACTAGGAATATGTGGAGGCCTTGAAATAATTACCAAGTTCTCTTGTGGAACCAAGCCCAGACGTCCCCACGCCGGACCGAGGTCGTCATGGAATACTGCTCGGACACCGTGTACCGTGTGCCGTCCTTTGCAAGGGCTCTGCCATTAGTTTCAAGCATGATTGCAAGTTGAGTAGGGACTGCACGCTTGCACTTGAGCTGCTGTAGCACAACGAGTCCAGGTCATGAAGCACTACACCAAGATGAAGCAGCTGCTCGTATGCAAGAAGCTACAGACCCAACAAGTGCAAGGGTAGCTTTCTCGGGTTTGACCACCTGCTCAATCATGAGCACCTCAGGCCTGAACCTCTGGCCAAAACATGTTTGGCAACGGGATGCATTGAAGCTTAATTGCTATCCAGTTTGAAGGCCTGTGCCTCACATCTTCGTCCAGCTCTACTCCTACCAGATGGCGCGCGCTTGCGCGACGTGGCGGGAACTGTGATAAGATGATGTAGAATGCTCTGCCCAAGACAGAGGAGGGAGCTGCGCGATTTCTGCTGAAGTAGTTTGACGCTGAGGCGTACATTCATGCCGTCGGAATATGCCATCGTGACATCAAGCCGCAAAATTTGCTTGTGGATGGTCGCGCCCTAAAAAGAAGGAGCTTGTGGTAACTGCTTCTCTCCTGCCTCTTGGGGATGCTGCAGTGATGCCCAGGCCACACGCACGCCCTCAAGGTTTGCGACTTCGGCTCGGCGAAGCCTTTGGTGAAGGGAGAGCCGAATGTGGCGTACATCTGTCGCCCGGCCATGTGAGTGGCATGTGCGTGGAGTATACGCTAGCATGTTCATCCAAGGTAGCCTGTTGAGTCATGTTGAGTCTGACATGTAGCCCGAGGCTCTCGCTATTACCGGGCGCCAGAGTTGATTTTCGGTGCCACGGACTACGGCTTTGTCGGAACCTGTGTTTGAGAATTGCTGAGGGCGTGGAGATAGCCCCTACCGTAGCATGCTAGGTGATTGACATTTGGTCCATGGCCTGCGTTTCAGTTCGGCACTGAGTTTGGCTGCGTGCTTTGCACACAGTGATCTAGTTGGCTTGTCCATGCACAGTACTCGTATGTACAACAAAGTCGTACACTGCAGTAGCAATTGACGGAGAGATCCCTCCCGTCTGCAGGCGGAGCTTATTCTGGGGCACCCCATCTTTCCCGGAGAGAGCGGTGTCGATCAGCTGGTGGAAATCATCAAGGCGCAATCGAATCTGAATCACGGCTTGGAGAATAATATAACCCAATGTAACCCCAATATAATACAACCCAATACAAACCCCAATTCTACCCCTAAAATTACCCCAATATAACCCTTCATACTACCCCCAATATAACCTCTAATATTACAGCCCTAATATAACCGCCAATATGACCCGGATATAACCCTATCATAACCCCGAATATTCCCCCAACATAACCCCCAATATTGCCCCTAATATAGCTTGCATGATTGGTCAGGTGCTGGGCACCCCAACTAGGGAGGAGCTCATGGCCATGAACCCCAACTACACCGAGCCCTTGGGCTTTGATGATGGTTTAGGGTTTAGGGTTTAGGGTTTTAGGGTTTAGGGTTTGGGGTTTAGGGTTTAGGGTTTAGGGTTTGGGGTTTAGGGTTTGGGGTTTACGGTTTGGCTTTGATGATTACCGGCTTCCATGACTGGTTGAAGGCATTTGTTGAGAGGGAGACAGATCCAAGCAGTTGCCTACACCCTAAGTCCTAAACCCCTGTATAATCCTCTAGAAGACTAATCCTAAACCCTAAGCATTTGAGACAAGCAAAGCAAACATGTTTCGGCGGGAGCCTGGCAGTGGTCGACACTTTCAACGCAGCTGTTTGGGTTGCTCCGAGTTTGGTAGCGTAGTTTCCCAAAATATTGGGACTCCAATATAGACATCAAAATGCTATAGTCCTCATTATCAGGAGCCCTTCTTACAGGCACCCCAAAAAAGGTAGCCCTGATTTTGGGAAACCTCCATAGAAGGGCCTGCCATGGATCAGTTGAGAGCCCTCCAGCAGAAGAATGCTTTCCTCCAGCTGTTGCAAGACGCGTGGCGTGGGGAGGGTGCCCCGTCAAAGGAGGAGCAGGGTCTACTGGCTGAGACTCTGCAAGTGGTCATTGCAGCCTTGCGTCAGGCTTCCGCGATCTCATGACCATATTGCTGTTTGTGCTTGTTCTTCTTCCTGCAACAGTCGCCACAGTTACAGCGCTGCAACTTACAGTCCCCCTTAAGTAGATAGAATATAGCTTTGGGTATATTATAATAAGAACACCATATTAATATACCTCATATTCTATCTACTTAAGCGCGACTATACCCCTCACCACAATCGCCTGCTTTGCGCCTGCCTCCCGCAATTCTTGAATTGGGGTTACATTTTGGGATAATGGGAAATAAAACGGAAATTACTATTTAGGGTGTAGGGTTTAGGGTATGCATGACGTTTCCATACCTCCATGAGAGTGTTGAAGATTCTGCATACTGTGCACCCAGAGCCTAGCAAAACCACTTCAACATGTAGGTTCAGATTAATCTCAACCACAGGAAGGTGCTAACCAGCTATGGCAAGACCTCCAAGCGGCCCTTATACAACTTCACGAGACATCCACATCATTTTGTTGCAGGCTTTCGGAAGTTTGAGCCCCGCACTGACCTTGCAGCGGCTATTGCTGCTGAGCCAACATCTGAACAGGGTCGAGGACCTGAGCTCTTCAAATTCTTGCGCCACATCCAGGGTTTCATGGGGATCCTCCAGACATAGTGAGGCTTCTGAAGGTCGTTATACACAGTTCGCAAGTTCTTTACCACACTATGCTCTCGCAGGCAACCTCTTTGAAATTTTTTTAGAGCAGGAAATCCAACATTCCTCTCAGTCATGCCGCGGGTGTATCACGTGTGGAGCATCTACCAGGAATCTACCACCCTCAGGGCTTTTGGATCCCTATTTCTGCCGCAGCATAAAATGGTAGCCGCTGTGTGATGGCTGTGAACGGTTGTGGAGCCGCTAAAGCCTTGCGTGGGACCGTTAGGTAAGGGTCTTGCTGCTAAGATCCGCATGCAGTGATGGCGAATCTCAGCAAGATTGCAGGGTAGGGCCCTGCACAGGATTGCCCATAGACCTTTCTTCCCTGGGAAAAAACACATGACCTGCTGAGTTCTGAGTGTGGCTTAGGTCAAGGCCCAGGGTGAACCTTTGGAATTCAAGCCGTGCCTGGTTTGGATGGCTGGCAAACAATTACTTGTCCACAACAGATCTGAATCGAAGGGTACGGAAGGCTCAAGGTAGGTGCACACTTCACTTGGCGAGATGATTGGATCCAGTTGTTGAGTTGCTTACCGGGTGTACGCCCCCAAGGCCGTTCACCCGTGGGTTCCAGGTATTCAGCTTTTCTTAACCCTGGGTCTTGCCACGATTGCTACTGAGGAGCTAACCTTGAGCAAGCTGGTGTCCGCCTGCCCTGAGCATCCTGGTCAAGCTTCAGCAAGTGACAGTCAGAAGTGCGAGGTGTCCATAGAAGGAGTTGACCTGGCGCAGTCAGCCCTGGAAGATTTCGTGAATTCCTACTTTGTTTTCCACAACTTGAGCCCAGAGAGGACTCAAGATGTCTTGAAATACTTCCCAACTCTGAGCTTTGTGGAGAGTCACATATATGGACTGGATCAAGCGAACGAGGACAACCTGCTTCCGCCGGACCCAAGAAATCTAAATGACCGGCTGCCACCACTACCAGCTGATCCTCTTGGCCCCCTTCGGGCGGTGCTTCGCGAGCGGCAGTGGCTTACCCCAAGACTAGAGCAGGAGCCGGGGCTACTTTGAGAGAGCAAGAACCCGCAATGAACGGACAAAGTATCTCAAAATTTTCTTATCAGATACCAGCCCTAAGTCTGAGACCCTCCAGACAACCAGGAGTTGAAGGAGGGCGCTCGTTTTTGGGCCTTGGAGCGAAAGATCTGCTCAGCCCTGGCCGCACCCCGCAAAGGCGAATCTGAGCTGTTGCGCAACCATTATTTTATGCTTTTGATGGGTTTAGAGCTTGGGGTTGAGGATCAGTTACACTCAATGTGGGATGAACAACCCAGTCCTTAAGACTAAACAAGGCAAGCACGGCTCAGGAACAAAGCTTGCCCAACTCTTTCGATCGGAGTGACGTCGAGGAAGCTCTTCGGCTAAAGTCCTTCGACTACCGCACCATGAACCTTTTGCTGTATGTCATGAGAGGCTGGGTTGCTGTTAAGGAACTTAAATTAAGTCACCATATTTGGGAAACCCTATTATCTACTATATATACCCATTATGGTAACTTAATTTAAGTTCCTTAACAGTATCTCATGAGAGGTGAGGAGCCCAACAAGATGCACATGGATTTTCTGGCAACTTCTGAGATTCTTGTTGAAATCGGAGATGACCTCGTGGACTATTTTGAAGACGTCGAAAGGAATTCCTTCAACATATACCGATGTTTCTTGGCGTTGTATGGTCCCAAAGCTGGCCAGGAAGAACTTCGCAAGTACATCCGTGCAGCCGAAAAGGATTTTGCAAACGCGTTCCGCAATTTGGACGAGGGCTTGGCACAGAAATGGTTGCGACAGAGCGAGGCGCTCAAAAGGCATAGCTTTGGAAGCGAGAGCGCCCAAGGAGGAAATTGGGAGCTGCCGCCTCCCATCGAGGAGGCTTCTTGCCAAGGATGAGTAGCCTGGGCCTGGCAGGTAAGCCCAAACTTCAGGAGCACAATAGCTCCTTCAGGCAGGACGTGGACGAGGAACTTAGGAGCTGTGCAAGGCCGTAGTTGGGGCGAGCTTGTGATGGGAAGCGCGAGCGAGCAAGTGGCGAGTGTGTCGGCCTCACCGACTTCGAGCATGTGAGCTTGAGATAGTAGCAGGCTTACCAAGGTGGCAGCGGGCCGGACACAAAAGATAATGGAAAAATGGAAGCTACTATTATATTATGATAGGGTATATTTGGTGTTCTTGTAGGGAAACGGAGAATATGTTGTACAGAGATTATATAGGGGTGTTGCACTCCGTGGCTACACTTCATTCAATGCAGCCGTTGCTCTGAGGTTCAAGTTTCCACAGATAAAGCCGCATCCCTGGCACAAGGCCGGTTTGCAACCAACTGGCTTTTATTACCCTAAAGGTCCAAGAGCCCAAATATTGGGTGATTAGTCCCAAATACCATTCAGACCATGGCATTTGGAACCTCAAGCCTTGCTGTTTGGGTACTTGGACCCTTAGGGCTACTTTCTTAGGGGTATAGGGTCTAGGGGTTACATAGGGGTTACATAAGGGTTATATACACTCCCGGAAACTAACATGGAAACCCAAAAAGGGCCCTATAAAGACTACAGCCCTTCTAAAAGGGGACTATATGGGTTTCCATGTTAGTTTGGGGGAGTGTAGGGGTTATATAGGGGTCTTCAGGGTTTAGGCTTCAGGGTTGCTATTGCCCTTAATCGGCTTGACACATGGCCAGGTCTTCCGGGCCCGTACCTCGGCAGATGCCGTCGATTATATTTCCAAGCTTTTGGCGGGAGCCTGAGACCAACCCAGTTTAGGGTTTAAGGGTTTAGGGTTTAGGGTTTAGGGTAGGGTCCCAGACCCCCAAACATTTGGGGGGTTGTCAAAATTATGGTCCCTTTTTGGGTACCCTAAATATTAGGTGAGGTATTATAATAGGGGTCCGAAAAGGGACCATAATTTTGACAACCACCCATTTGGTGATTCAGGACCGTGCTGTAACAGCATTTCTAAGGACATGTGCCTTAGAGAAAAGGTACTATAAACAATCCTGTATAGTCCTTATAAAGCCATACGAAATTGATTTTTACAGAGCCCCCAAACCTGCCCTAGCAAAGGGATCCAAAAGTTGAATCCCGTATTCTATGGAAGTTTCCTTATATTATGCCTAATAGAGACCCAACCCCCCCCCCGCTCCTCTGGGGGGCAGAGCCGTTTTCAGAAGCTTTCATAAACGACTAGGAGATCATGGGCCCCCCGATTTCCCTTTCTCATCTCAGGGGTTTGTCAGGCTCTGACGGGCTAGAAGATGTTGAGAAAATTTTGTTTCTGGGACATGGCCCATGTAGCTATTTAGCAATACCTGAGCCCCGAAGTAGGTGTATAGGAAGCCCTACGAGCTAAGTGTATACTATATACCTACATACCTACATCGACCAATTTTGGAAGCTGGTCCCCATGTGAGTAAACCCCTTTTGGTGAACCCTAAGCCCTAAACCGTAAGCCCTAAACCCTAGGCAAGCTCTTTTGGTGCCAGGTTTACGATCCAAAGATGCGCCCGACGGGGCTGCAGCCCTTGCCTCAACAGAGCCACCTGCTGTTGCGCTGCGTCGTCCTCCTTTGAATGGCGGTACGTGATATGATATCAAGGATGTGAAGAACAGACCTTGCAGAATTTTGCTTACTCGGGTAGTAGGAAATAACGGAAGAGATTATTTCGGGATTATACACGGACCACATTCCCTAATTCCCTGCTGATAACAGTCAGTTTTGGGGATGAGGGAGTATAATAGGGATCTGAATTTTAAGGCCCCTACAAGGAAGGGGTTTATTAACAACCTTAAGCCCTAAATCCTAAACCCCATATAACCCAATATAACCCCAACACAACCCCTAAGGGGGTCTACATTAGGTGCTGTACACACGCCCTCTTCGATGACCTCCGTGACCAGAACACGCGCATCAGCAGCGGAGGGCTTAGACTCTTGGAGGATGCCAGGGAGGCCCAAAACGTGTATAGGGAGTATATAAGTTCAGGGATATATATAGATATGCACACACATATACACATATGTGGCTGGTACCTTTGGGG